AGAGAGAGAGAGAGAGAGAGAGACAGAGACAGAGACAGAGAGAGTCCATGTCGGAGTAGTGGGAGGAGAGCACCACCTTGTCAGGGCTTAGAAATCATCATTTCTCTACACTAACATACTAACCTACTTTTAATTTTATTTTATTTACAAAAATAAGACTGGCACTCTGCCCTCTCCTCATTTTTCTTGGCCCCCAATCCCTCACTGAACTTAAAGATCACCCTAGTTCGTCTGTACTAACTGGAGACACTACATCCAAAAAAAAAAAGTACTTCAAACTCACATCATATATGTGACATATAATAAAAGGGTCAAAAAATGTATTTCAAACTCGTATCATATGCTCCACCTTTTCAAATGCATGTCGGTGATCTAATGCCCAACTCCAACTTTTGATATCCGTTTCATTTCATGTGCAGTGAAATTATAGTGATTTCTTATACAAGAGGAGGACATGCAGACCAGCCCAAGCCAAAAGGGACCTTTCTATCTGTGACAAAACATGGGGGTGAGGGAGGGAGCAAGTCGTTGAAGCAGAAAGGAGGAAGAAAGCGTTTAGGAGTGGTGCCCCAGGTGGTCACGTGCCCTTTCTCAAGGGCACACATCAAATATTTTGTTTTGCCCAAATCAAGAAGCAAAAATCTCAATGATGACGTTTGGAGTTTTGTGGGGGAGAGCAAGTCGTTGAAGCAGGAGAGGGAGGAAGAAAGTTTGGGAGTGGTCCCCTACTCTACGCACCTACATGTACAGACTAATACGGACGCAAAAATTGTGCAACTTTTGATCTTTTATTTTATTTTGTTGATCCACAAATACAATTGGCAGAGATTTTTCTCTCTGCCAATTTGTTTGAAACAGACGTCTGCATGATGAAGTCACTTTGAGCCAACCTCTATATGTGATTACTTTACTTTGAGCCAACTTTTCTTGTGTAAGGACAAGTAATTCAGCAGTTATGCCCCCCTTTTCCCTTGTCCTCTTCCATCTCACTCCATCATCTTCTGAGAAATGAGAGAGACCCAGAGTCACCACTTACATATAAACCCACGTACACTCATCAGTCATCACCCTCTCTCCCCCTTTCTCTCTCTCTCTTCAACCAAAACACACTATTCACCCCAAGCACTATATATATATATATTATATCGGGCACCTTTTGCTAGTGCATTCCTAATAAAGATAGGAAGCAAGTTTTATATTTAGTGTAAAACTTGATTTGATGAATAATTAAGATGAAATTAAAATGAACTTCGAATAGATATGCAATTAATAAAGATGAATCAACCATATGATAAATGATCTATGAACGTTCTTAATTTCTTGGGTAAAAAATTTGTGTCATTTTTTTTTTCTTTTGAAAAACCTTTGTCATTGAGAGCATGAACAATTGCATATTTTACTTTTTCAGTGCAATGACTTCTCTTGGGTTGGTAGTCTTTATGGTGGGGGCTCCTAGTGCTGACTTTTGATATGCCTTACCTCATCATTACATTGGGTGACCTAATATTCATTTAGGCTGCTTATTGGATTGTGCTTCGTGCTATTCTTGTATGTTTCTTCTTTATCCCTCTTTATGTCATCACATATGTCATGTTACTGGTATTTTGATCTTTAGACTAGTGTTCAAAGAGAATTGGAACGATACCACAATGGTGAATGCATTGTTTGCGGATGATAGATGGGTTGGATACCCTTTTATGTGTTTTTTTTTATTGGGATTTAAAGATGATGGTGTTGTTAAAAGGAATAAGAACATGTTGTTATTGTTGTGATATTGTATATTTGTATACTTTATGCATGCAAAGTTTGAGAAAATATTATTATTATGTTTTCTACATGTGGAAAATTTGGTTAATGTTCTAATTACAAGGGAGACTAATGAATTTTCGGCATCAATGAAACATTTAGGCCTTGTTTGTTAGGGAGGATTAGACTAGACTAGCAAAGTGGCTACAATTCATGTGCAATCAAGACATAATATGGACATTGTTGTCTAATTTGGAGGATAAAAGAGGACTATTTATAAGAGTTTGATCTAAAACTTATCCCTTCTAATCCTACAACAACCTCTTATAGATAGTCCCCATTTTCCCTCCAAGTTAGGCAACATATCCATGTTATGTTTTGAATATATGCACTTGAAATGCAGACATTTTGCTAGTCTAGTCTAATCATTCCTATCAAACAAGCCCTTAATCTTCTAGTAAGGGTAGTTTAGTAAGTAGGTCGGACATGCATAGGACCTCTCCCAAGTTTAGATGGGGAATTTGAGGGAGAGTCATGAGGTTTTTGCTAAAATATTTAAGATGGTTTGGGAAGGTGCATAGGAAGTGGATGTGAATGTACGTGAAAAAAGTGGGTGGATTAGGACTTGCACAGATGATGAGTTTGAGGTTTGGTTGGGAGTGTCCATGAATGGAAATTGGAAGGTATGTTTTGCTTCTTTGTATTTCGATTATGAGAGAGAGAGAGAGAGAGAGAGAGAGAGAGAGAGAGAGAGACAGACAGAGAGAGACAGACAGAGAGACAGAGACAGAGAGAGTCCATGTCGGAGTAGTGGGAGGAGAGCACCACCTTGTCAGGGCTTAGAAATCATCATTTCCCTGATACACCCTAGTCGTTAGTCTACACTAGCCTGTTATCCTGCTTTTAATTTTATTTTATTTACAAAAATAAGACTGGCGCTCTGCCCTCTTCTCCTTTTTCTTGGCCCCCAATCCCTCACTGAACTTAAAGATCACACCCTAGTTCATCTGCACTAACTGGAGACACTACATCCAAAATACAGGTGGATTGACTCTGTCTACATGGATTTGTAAAGCCCAAGCCAGCTCTGTTGATGTGTCAATTCTCGAACAGCATGCACTTTCCATGAGTACCAAAGGTCATGAAGCCGACCACGATTAAAACATCCAACACCCTCGATCTGAGTCTGACCAAAGGTCATGAACATCAACGGCTCTGATTAAAGGACCCCATGCCAGGTTACAAATTCAAAGGCCGCGTCCACCGCCCGCCGCGCTCTTCTAACATCAACGGCGCTGATTAAAGGACCCCACGCCACGTTACAAATTCAAAAGACGCGTCCACCGCGCTCTTCCTTCCACGGAGCTCGTGCCCAATCTATATATATATATATATATATATATTTGAATATAGAGCACACCCGTTATTTGAAATACTTTGGGAGATTTTTCTCTCTGCCAATTTGTTTGAAACAGACGTTTGCATGATGAAGTTACTTTGAGCCAACTTTTATATGTGATTACTTTACTTTGAGCCAACTTTTCTTGTGTAAGGACAAGTAATTCAGCAGTTATGCCCCCCTTTTCCCTTGTCCTCTTCCATCTCACTCCATCATCTTCTGAGAAATGAGAGAGACCCAGAGTCACCACTTACATATAAACCCACGTACACTCATCGGTCATCACCCTCTCTCCCCCTTTCTCTCTCTCTCTTCAACCAAAACACACTATTCACCCCAAGCACTATATATATATATATTATATCTACCAAGACGGCATAACAGAAAATAACAAAATTTTATTTGCACGGATAGGAATATATATGTTTTCTTGCATTTTTGTTCATTTTTAAAAAAATCGCATTTTAAATTTTTTTATTTCAAAATTGCTCAGGACCATTTTGCCCTTCAGCTGGTACATGCCGATTTTGCGTGGACGCAAGTCGCTTCGGATGCGCATTTTGGAATAGCGTAGGGAACAATAATGTTCTAGCATTTAATAGTTGGTCGTTCTAATTAGGCACTATAGAAATTTTTAATGGAAATCATTCGATCTGTTTCATGTATCATTTAAAATTGTCATATTAGTTTCAACAGAGAGTGAGTGAGCCTTGATTTTCCACTGAACTTTGTATAAATAATAAAAAGCTTTCCTTTTTTTGAGAGTGAAATTAGAAAAATGTGTAGAGAGAGAGAGAGAGAGAGAGTTGTGAAGGCGGGTTTAGATTTATATACTCTGCAGTATTATTTCTTTGGGTGGTTGGTTGTGAAGTTTTTCTGAGGCACTTTGCTACAAAGATGTTGCTAATAAGCTCTTCACTGCCCTTGGTCTTCTTCTAACTTTTATCCATTCAAATAGAATATCTTCTTTGCGCTGTTCCTCACTGAGGTTATAAAAGAATACTTGTCAAGCTAATTCTTTG